TCTCCCAGGCCTTTGGGTGGAGGTTTGTTTTAATCTAGTGAGGACTTGCACTGGGTTTTGAGATTTGTTTTATAGCAAGGAACAGTGAAATTAGGAAGGAAAAGTGTAATTTAATTAGGCCTTTTCAGTTGCTATTTTACCTTTATCAGACTGCCAGCTTCAAATTCACTCATCAACATGGCATGGTCAGGATATTCTTCTTTGGTGTAACTTGCCTCAGCTTGATGGCTTGACCTGAGTCCTGTGTCCTTTGGTCCTAGCAGTATGGCTACCCCCTCTCAGCTCAGTAGTAAGTGCTCCTTACCTCTCAGCTGCAGCTTGCCACCCTGCACGCACCCCTGTCAACTCCCTGCAGTAGGTGTCTTTCCCATGTCCATGCCCAGTTGCAAAGGGCAGGCAGCAGGGCAAAGGGCAGCAGTTTCCCTTGGTAGGTATGAGGGAGAAGAGTCCAGGCAGGATTCAGGGATTAAATGCCTCTCACACAGCTGCCTTCCCCTCCCTCAAGCCTACAAGGAAGTTCCTCTGCACTCTTTCTAGTCTTTCCTGTGAATGGCGGAATTACAGAAAGACCACGACTTCCAGAGAAGATGAGCCCTGTTCTTCCCCCACACAAGTAGGCCCAAGGGCCTCTGCCTGACCACCTCCAATCACCTGTTCTTTCAACTCAAATTTCCTGGCTAAGGTCTGATGATACATGATTCAGGTCTGCCAGAAGTGTCCATGTCCCATGTCATCCTGTGGACATGTTAGCTAGCTGACCTATGACCTCTTCTCTCTGTCTACGTTGTCATAAGGTTATGTCGAGACAGACCTCCATGGCCAAGTCTCCATGGACACATCCAGGGATGACAATATCTGCCTCTAGACTGTTCTCCCTCATCTTCCCTGTAGTAAATGAAGCCACCATGACTCTTATCATGGCAGAACGTGAGAGATTCTCTCGAGATGCACTACTGCTTCACAAGCAGCAGAGGCTGAGCAAGACTGCTTGGGACAAGGGATACAGTAATCAGCCTGTTTTAACCATTCTGGTGCCTACATATATTACCCAGGGCATCTTAAGTATATACAACAACAAAGACATTAAGAGAAAAGGGAACGATAAGGCATGGGAATTAAGAGATGCAACTATCATAATTTGTGGGTAGTCTGATAAACTATGCAGAATCAGCAAAATTAATTGCTAGAGCTAATGAGGAAGTTGTGAGATTAAGGTACAAGATCAGCTAATGAAAACCACCGGCTTTTCAGCCAACAGAGGAGAGCCAGGATTTTTAGCAGGACCATGAGGCTGGCCAGAGCTGCTCCAACGGGGTGGGAGGAACTATCACAAAAGGGCCACTTTAACTAACACCCATGTGACTCTATCCTGTTAATTGATTTTCTTTTTCTACCATTTATCAGGCACCTAGTGCTACAATGAAGCTGTTAGTCTCAGAATCTGGGCATGAAGCCAGGATCTGTGCCTCCGCAGATGGTTAACTGCAGGCAACTGACTTGGGACCCCGAGTGCTCTTGACACAGCACAGTACCATGGGGACCCAGAGGCTAAGCAAAAGCACACATGTCCTGGCACACAGGGCCCCATCCTTCTCTCACCCTTTTCTTCCCCGATTACTGACAAAGGACTGCATTGTCCTTTCCCAGGTCATCGCACTTAACCATAAACAGTTAAAATTCCTTTTCCACAGACTTACACATTATTTATTTTAAACTCCATTCTCCCATTGTCTAAATACTGCATTAGTGATCCTGTACTAAGTTTCTAGCTCATTTCCCATAATACCAGACACACATCCAAGAAACGCTTTCCTTCTACAACCCTAACCCTTCCAATGCCGAGCCTCCTGCTTCAGGCACTGGAGTAGGTTTGCCATTGTGAAGAGCTGTGTTGGTCCCAATTTCCACAGCCCCATGCTCCTTACCATGGCCTTCCCACGCATCCTCCAAGCACCTGTTTAGTATTCACATTATATCCTCTCCATGGCCTTCCCACACATATAACATGCACCTGTTTAATATTCACTTTATAATGTGAACAACAAACACAAACATGGGGGGCTCTCCAAACAACAGTGCTGCCAAGGAATTGCAATTTAGAGTGACTTCAATTTAAAAACTCATGGCAGGTTTGTCCAGAACAAGATCTTGAAGTTTCCTATAATATCAAATACAGATATTTAAATGCCAACTTATGTTTCTGGAAGTTGGGTAAGCTGTAAGTTCAACACTTGAATGTTCTGTCCCTATCTTCAAAGTGCATTAAGTACCAAATTTATTCTCTAAAGAAATAGCTATAATTTTACAGGTAGAAGAAAAGTGAGTGTTCTTTTCCTGCTCTGCTCAATAAATGGGAATAGTCACCTCTTTGGCATCACTTAGACTTATCAAGTAGGCATTTCTAAACATCACCCACTTCCTGCTCCTTTACTCTTCTCCTCCTCCTTCCCGAGCTGGTAAATGTCATAGTGACATCTCCTCATTTGTAATAACACATGGTTCCAAGACCACAACAGGCCATTTGGCCTTCCCCACCCATCTGTCTCTCAAGTCTCCTCGAGTTATGGATCCCACACCCAATAGATCACAGTGACAGTTCATAGCTCCATCATTGACTTTTAAAATTATTGTGTGGAATCTGATGTGGATTGGATCAAAATAGATGCATTAAAACAGCCTTAGGCTATAGTAGCCACTCAGAAAGATTAAGTGGTTGTCATGATGTCTTGGTGAATCATGTTCTAAAGCTAGAGATCTCACTGAGGAAGAATCACTGAAACGTGTGGGCTAGGAAATGCAGCTTTTTTAGTCTTTTTCTTCAACAAGTTATTGTTTTGATATTGTTTTAACTCTGCTATTACTAACAGATTTTGGAGGAGCTGCTTCCATTGAGCCAAGTTAAACTCAGAAAAGAGAAACTCACCATATATGAACATGATGAGATTTATTCTTTTCATTTTAGTAAGTTGACATCATAAAGCAATAAAGATTTCTAAAGAGAAGTTTCTAAAAGCCTGTGGGTTCCTTGTTGTCCAGATTTGCTCTCAGGGCTCCAATGTTCAAAGTTCTTCTGCATCAACATCCGTGAATGTCTGATGAGCAGCTTCTAATGGCAAAGTTCTCTCTTTTGTTCCAGAAAGAAATCTATATCTATATCTATATCTATATCTATATCTATATCTATATCTATATCTATATCTATATCTATATCTATATCTATATCTATATCTATATCTA